TTTTTGTTCACCTCTTCACTTTTCGGGCTCGATTATACTCATTTGGACTCGGAATTCGATTCCGTTTTTGTCCTGTGTGTTCCCAATGAACTCCTCTATTTGATTAGGCTTGCCCGACTAGTATTTTTCCGAAATCCTATTCTCCCGAGACTTCCAACCTACACACCAACGACGACGAAGAAAAACGGAAAACGAACGAAACAATACAAGAAAGACCAAGAAGAGAGCAAATACTAAATAAACTATAAAACGACCTAAAATCCAATTAAAACACCTAAAATGGGGGGAAAATAAAGACTAAAAGACAACGGAAAACGCAACAAAGATGGGACAAACAACGCGCAAGCACGGTCCTCGAACCACCACCGCAAGCTGAGGAGTGAGAAGATCGCCGAGGCGGCATGACCACGGGGCTACATGCGACGCCTTAGTCTCGAAGAAATGCAAAAGCGATGTGAGAAGGGATTGTGTTTCACGTGCAATGAACCGTTCATACCCGTACATCGATGCAAGGGGAAGCAAATCTATCTCCTCTATTCTTTTGATCCTGATGAGGAGAACAAGCAAGGGGCGCACCTATACCTAAATCCACAACTAGAGATGATGCACATGATGAAAAGAAAGCGAGGACCGAAGATGATGCAATTTGACGCAGAAATTTTGGGGCGGAAAGTCGACGTGTTAGTCTATAGTGGGTCAACCCTTAACTTTATCAACTAGGACTTCACCGCAAAGTTAGAACTTCGTATGATTGGGGTCGTACCATTTGGAGTGAGAGTAGCGAATGGCGAAGAGCTTAAGAGCTCGATGCTATTTAAGAAAGTGCCAATACAAAGTGCAAGGTGAAGAGTTGAAGGTTGATCTTTATGCGCTACAGTTATCCAAACCCGATGTGGTACTAGGAGTTCCATGGTTGGAAACGCTAGGGTCCATGACAACCAACCACAATAAAGGGACCATGGAGTTCGAAAGGGCGAAGAAGCGAATCAAGTTGCAAACAAGCGACGAGGGAACCGAACCGGTCGAGCTGAAGAGGCTCAAGTTCATTATCCTTGAGGACAAGAAAATTCTCGAAGAGGTGGGAATGATGAAGATGTGGTCATCGACCCTTTCGAACTTGAGGACAAGCCACACTCGAGCATGAAAAACGGTGCAGAAGCAGTCAGGACGATACCCGGGGCTATGAGAAGGAGGCTTGTGATAGCCGCCCGCGAGGAAATCACGCAACGCATAGACGCGCGATACGCGTGGGTCGCATGACGAGGCGTGAGAGAGCGAGATGCGTGAGGCAGAGTCGTGCGATGGGGGGCACGCACGAGGAGAAGCAACGGGATGACGATGAGGACACGACAGGTAATTCACGATGGACGGCTCGCATATGGTTCGACCACGCAAGGGGCGGATGACGCGAAGGATGCGATCGACGAACCCGCTGGCGAGAGGAGGCTAGCGTGCCATTCACTCGCGGGCTAGGAGAGATGCGCAAGGGAGAGCACGCGCGTGTCACGGCGAACAACTCGTGGGGTGCGGTATAGGATGCGCGGGGGGCAGACGGGCGCGAGTCCTCGGAGGACTAGGAGTAGCGCGCCGCCTAGGGTTCTAAAGGCGCGCGGCGCAAGAAGACCGGGACCCTTCTAGAAGGCCTAGGGGCGATTTCCCTAGCATCTTAGGACTATTAGTTTGGTTAGGATTTGAAATAAAGGCATGTGCTTACTAATTATTTAGAAAGTCTTATATTTTAGATATCTAGTTACCTTAGGAGTTTATTTTATTTCCAAGAGTTTGAATTCTAGATAGTATATGATTAGATCTATTTAGCCTCTATAAATACATACTCATAACATTCGAAATAATATTGAAGAAGTTAATGAAAAATCGAACGTTTGTTCACTCGTGTGTTTAGACAAGGCTGATAGTGCGTGTTTATCATACAACAGTGTTCGAAAGAAGGCCTAGAGCGCCTTTCGTCACAATTTATTGTGTCTAAGCGAAGGCCGTTAGCACGCGTTTATTCACAAACCGGGATAAGATACACGATTATTCATCACGCAGGTGCAACGTATCAGCGTCTTGTCGATAAAATTTTTAAAAAGCAACTGGGATGGAACATAGAGGTCTATGTTGATGATATACTGGTTAAAAGCAGAGAGGAAAATGACCATGTGGCTGACTTGAAGGAGGCTTCCACCACTCTGCAAATGTATGGTATGAAACTCAACCCTGTTAAGTGCTCATTTATTGTGAAATCAGGAAAGTTTCTTGGGTACATGGTGACCAAAAAGAGGTTCGAGGTGAAACTCAAGAAAATTCGAGTTGTTTTGGAGATGCAACTCCCGAAGAGTGTGAAGGAAGTACAAATTTTGACTGGTCGAATTGCAGTTTTCAATAGGTTTATTTCAATAGTGGCCGAGCGAAGTAGTCCTTTATTTAGGACTTTGAAGAGGAGCTCAAAATTTCAGTGGACTGATTAGGCGCAGAGGGAATTTGAGGAGTTGAAAGTTGTATTGACGAACTTAACTTTGTTGGCCGAGCCAGTTAATGGAGAAGACATGGTTTATATATTTCAATTAGTGAAGTGCAGTCAGCTCGGTGTTGTTGCGAGAGGAGTGAGTGGCCAAATACTCAATTTATTATGTCAGTCGGGTAATGCAGGGAGTTGAATTGAGGTATTTAGAGATTGAGAAAGGGGCATTAGTTGTGGTCATTACGGTAAGAATGCTGAGGTCGTATTTTTTAACTCATAAGGTGAAGGTGCAAACGAGTATGTCTTTGAGGGAGACGCTTGATCGACCCTTAGTTTCAGGTCAATTGGTAAAATGGGATGTGGAGTTGAGTGAATTTTCATTTCTTATGAACCTTGAAGGGCGATAAAGGCCCAAGTGCTAGCGCATTTTATTTAGGAAGGAAAGAAAGAAGAGGTCGAGTCTGAAGGTAGATGACAGTTGTTTGTTGATAGTCCTGTGTCAAAAGGAGGGGAAATTTTAGGCATTGTATTGATTTCTCCTAACGAGATAGTTTAGAGTTCGCGACCAAGTTGGGGTTTAGAGTATCCAATAATGAGGGAGAGGACGAGGCGGTGGTCAAAGGCTTATAGTTGGCCTTGACAGGAAAAGCTCAAGAGATTCAAGTACACTCTGACTCTTAGTTGGTCATAGGAAAGTCTCAGGATGGGTTCGAGGTGACGGAGGAAAGGATGCAAAAATATGTTGATGAGATGAAACAGTTGCAAGTATAATTTGGTTTTTTCGAGCTAGTCCAGATACCAAGAGGGGAGTATAAGAGGGTTGATTGATTGTAAAAATAGCCCAAAATTTGGTCGACTGCAAGAGTAGAGTGTAACCTTACTTCACATGGATAAAAGTGCGATGGAGGTCAAGGCCGTGAAGATTCAGGAGGTCGATGATAGGGGGCCTCTATCTTGCAGAAATTGAAGGAATGGAGCTTGAAGGCTATTAAAAGGTTTTTCGAGCAAGGCGAGTCCTCTACAAAAGGTCGTACTCAGGACCACATCTCAGATGCGTAACAGTAGAGGAAGGTCGATATGTGTAAAAGAGGTTCACGAGGGGTATTGCAGTGACCATATCAAAGCGGGATTGTTGGTAGCTAAAATACTTCGAGCTCGATACTTCTTGCCAACACTGATGGAAAATGCAGTCTCGATGGTGAAGAAGTGCTTACAATGTCAAAAACATGGCCCACTCATTCATCAACCGGTGGAGACGATGACCACAATGAGCGCCCCAATTCTATTCGCTCAGTAGGGCATCAGCCTGGTGGGGCCAATGCCGCAAGGATCTAGTCAGAGGAAGTTTTTGATCTTAATGGTTGATTATTTCATTAAGTGGGTGGAGGGCGAACCTTTAACTAAGATTATAGAGGACAAAGTCATACACTTTTTATGTAACAATATTTGTTGCAGGGCTTGACACAAGAGAAGAACTTTAAAATTTCAACTTTCCTAGACCAACACAAGAGAACCTCATCTAGACTGACAGGGCTTGACATAAACCCATCTATCATGTCACCTACACTTTTTACAAACAGACTCCACAATTTTATTTTTTTGTTTCCGAAAAGAAAAACAAGTCTGGGAGATGGGCCTTTAAGGCTTCCTTGAACTGGAAAATTGCAGAGGGTTCCCCCAAACCTCTACAATTCCACACACATACCTTCATTTACACCATTGGGACCAATTGGGGATGGTCATCTCCACCATACTAGTCTGGATGATCTCTCCAACTTTCTGCTTTTTACTCTCAAAATCTAAGTTGACTCTATCTAGTTAAGAATGATAGAGATTGACAAGGCTTCTCTTTTTTGGTCCCTTACTGCTACTATCCCCAATTAAGCCACTCTCCCCTTTGTCAATAACCATAAGTTCTGGTTTATCTATTTTATTAACTCTAGGTAGCCTGGTGAATGTTTTATTCTTTCTTTGGGATATCCTACCCTAAATAGCCACAGGTTGAACCTCTATTTTTACCAAGTCCTCAGTTTTTTGCAAAACATCATCTATCCTTAGGTCTAGGTTCACTACCCTCTCTACATTTGTCTCTCCTCTAGTTACTTCCTTACCCACTTGAGGATACTTAAGACTATCCGCCCCACCCAACACTTCTACTGCTTCTCCTTGACCCACTTTCTCTTGCTCACTGTTTTTCCTTTCCTCCACAATTTAGAGGATTTAACCGACTCCTTAACTATCAAAGGGCTACCCAAACTGTTGTGCCTTGGACTTCTAGACTCAGCTGGATTTGAATTTATTTCCAAACAGCGAAATATGAGAAATATCTCACCCATTTGAATTTATGATCATTATGGAAACTACAAGTANCAATCCTAACACTAGTCACTATATAACACTCTAAAATCCTCCTAAAACGAACCTCATCTATCATCCATCAATCATCTAGCTCTTTAAAAAAATAAAACAGAACATACAAAACAACAAAAGAAAAAAAAAAGCAAAACAAGGAAAAAAACACACTCACACACACACAATGGTGCAAGTTTTTAGGAGCGATTCTCAGGCATACGACCAACTAATCAGAGTATTCTCGATCAACGACGGAGGAGTTCGAGGCACAATCCCAGACGTAATCCTCGGATTGCCGACTATTTCGACATGGTTGCCGAAACAAGCACTGGAGGCCTCGTCACCGCCATGCTCACGACTCCCAACCGAGACAATTGGACGTTGTTCACGGCAAACAAGGTCAAGGATTTCTATCTCCAACTCTGCCCTCAGATTTTTCTCCAAAAAGAGGTAAAGTTTAGTTAGTTTAACTCTACATGGATGTGTGTTTTGTGAAGTTTTTTTTTTCTTTGTTTCTTTATTTTTTGTTTTTGAAGTTTGAAGAAGTTTTTTTGTTGTTTTGATTCGATAAAGGGGTAATATCGTGAGCCGATGCGCGAGGTTAGTGAAATGGCTGTCGGGACCAAAGTACGACGGGAACTATCTGCTTGCGCTTCTCAAGGACAAGCTTGGGGACACGAGATTTAACGAGGCCCTCACGAGTGTCGTGATTCCGACTTTCGATATAAATAAGCTGCAGCCCACTATTTTCTCGACTTATGAGGTGCGTTTCGTACGATTT